TTAGTATTTAAAAATACTACATATAGAGTTCGAACTTGAAACCTTTAATTATTGGAGAAAGACTCTTAATTGGTAAGTTTATAAATTGATAGAGTAATTTTTACTTACAAAGTAAAGAACTCAAATTTATTGATCAGAATTATAAAAAAAAAAAAAAAGATATATAACTTTTATAAAATGTTGAATGAAAGAAGCAAGAAAAGAATATTAATTAGAGATTAGGTATAAAGTTGCAAAATTCGTACCACCTACGACCCAAAATTTTAAAGCAATCAGCCGACTAATAATAAATAATTAAATTTTAAGAGTAATATTCTGGTGGTTTTGAGACCATATGAAAGGGTACGTGGCCATCTCACTGCCATGCACTTTTTGTAGGGTCCACACCAAAAACCAAATCGTGGCAAACAGTGGTATTTGACCCTTTTGGCCTTTAATAGACATTTCCAACTCTGTTTGTTTCCTAGAAAATATGCTAAAGAAACCGGAAGTGAGTCATCAAGTTGAAGCACGAGATGCTTAATTATTTGCATGAAAAGATCACAAATTATTATATAATAATTGAGTAATTACTGAATATATGCTTGCGTGGCTTCATACAAATGCATATGTCATTACAACACATACATGCTTGGGTCAAATTTCAAATTTTTGACTGAATTATATATTTGCCTACTTTAAAAATGGAAAATTGAAAAGTGAAATTTATCACTAGTTTATAGTAGTACCTTTTATAAAAATAATTTGATTTATTATTCAACTATAAGGTTCTATTTTATGTGCATAAAGATTGAGTCTGTCGAGAACCAAAATTTAAAAGTTTCAGAGTTATTTTACAATGCTCGTCTGAAGATGTGGAATTCAGTTCCTATTTTTTTTTTTCCCTTTTTATAATGATTAATGCATTGGTTTGTTCTTGCCTTTTAAAAAAAAAAAGTTTTGTGGTTAAGTGATATGAAAGCCTAATAAAAATTCGTAAAATCCTATCATTTAAATTTCGTTGATGTTGAAATGAAAATATTATAAAATTTTTACGTGAGAATACAAATACATGAATTTAAAAGATTTTTCTGACTCTTTTGACGTATTTAGGTTTTGTAGTTGAAAATAACTAATCATTTATATATAAATCAATTGATGCTTACATTTTATAATTCAATACATATAACGTGACCTAATAAATAAAAGGAAAAAAATGGAAAAAGGAAAACAAGGTGCTACCATCTTCCTACGGTAAGGAATAGTGGTGTACAGAACATGACAGCATTATAACATTTGTTGGATGAAATTTTCAACATGACAAAAGATTTGAATGGGTTTAGGTCACATATTAACGACCATGACATGAGATTCTTAGGAATAAATATGTTTTGAGAGGTTGAAAAACATGCCACATATATATGGAAGTTAGACAAAGAAGAGGTTTTTTTCTTAAAACGAGAAAGGATCAATATTCCTTGGCCAGAAAGTTATTCCATTTTTGCTTGCAGGCCTGAAAATGAAAGGTTTAATTTCTCCTCTTTATAGTATATATTTATGTATTATTGGTCTTCCCTGTTAGCTTGCCTAACTCATGCTCTCTGTGTCACATGGGTACACAATAACTTACCTAGAGCTTGCTTCAAAGCATTAGCATCTTCATGGCATGGCCACCGGTTTTGACTATTCAGATTTCATTTAGGTCTCTTCATTTTTCAAAAAGTTGGTAAAGATGAAATGAACTAGAATAATTCATCCTTTTGATGCTTCCTATATAGGAATCAAACATGTGATTTAATTCTAACTATCTCTAGTTAATTTCAAACGCATCTCATGCTTATTCTTTCTTAATTAATTTTCCTAAGTATCTAATGTCCAAAAGATGGTAATAGAAATTCCAATGAAAATTTGTTTTTTCCAAATTGGCCATTCAGTAAAGAAAAAAGGCAGTGAGAACTTACACAACCAAATGACTAGGAAACTTCCATCATGTTTCTTCCTGTCTGAATCATTACCCTACAGACAAAATCATGCGTTAAAAGAAAGTTATAAAAGACAACTCTAATTGTCTGTGATTAATTAATTTTCCAATCAAGAAAAATCAAATCCCATTAATCTTTCATTTATATATATATATATATTCCTTATGCTTATGCAAGTAATATATTCAACAATGTCGACCCCGTGACTTTCATTCATCGATTTCCTTCTGAACCTTTTTGTATTTTACACAATCTTTGTCTATTTATTACCATTAATTAATCAAATCAGAGTATTAATTAATTAGTAAATCATTATCAGAATACAGAGATTTGTTCTGCCGACTTTGTGTAGAAAATGAAAAGCTATATATATATATATTCGCCATGCAGATGCATATCATAAGGGATTGTTTTAGATGCGTAATAATGACACAGAAGAGCAGAAGAGAACAGAAAGCTCTCATTCTCAGATGTCAAAAGTATATATGTATGACAGAAACTATAATTAATATATTATTAATTAGAGGAGACGCTGCTGGTTTTCATTAATAAAGGGTGTAGGTTAGGTTCATGTATACTGCTTGTTTTCACTTACATTTTCAAGGGGCGGTGTGAATTCTGAAGCTTCTACTATATGTATGTATAAATTATTATAAAAGAAAGTTGGTGACATAAATAAAGAGTCGTTGGAATTGAAGTTTGAACCCTTAATTTAATTAAGCAGTCCTTTTAATCGATCGACCAAGTACTGTAGTTCAAATTAGATCGGGACCGTCTTTGTTTATTAAGACGAGTGGTTGTACATTTACTCTTTTCTTTTAACTCGGTTGAAATATTTATGGTTAATACTAAAAAAATCTCAATTTCAATTTATTTATTTTTCATTAATTTGATTCTAACTGAATTTCAAATTTTTAACCTTGTAAATAATTACTTCAATATTAGTGAACTAAAGTTCATTTGTCACGTAAAATAATGTCTATGAAAGTGAAAGGTTGTTAAAGTAAAGATACATTTTGGTTTGATATGTAAATTTTTAAAATGATTTTTTAGTTTTAAACTGTTTGAGAATTGAAAAATAAAAATTAATATATCATCAATAATTTTGAGCTAAATACATTTTAAAACTGAGCTTGCTGATACCAAAGAGTTTTAATTTAGTTTTTCTTTTTAAGCCAATGTAATTAATTAAAAAAAAAAAAAAAGTTATGAATAGAGTGTAACCAAAATAAATGATTCATATAGTCAATTCTAATTAATTTAAAATTAAGGTTTAACAATTATTGTTGCAAGAAAAAATAGAAAACAAAAAGCCACTTGATTGATTTGGTGTGAAGCATTTATTCTATGTTGACGAAACCATATAATTTGACAATCTTCATTGACTGTTGAACCCTAAACCCTAACGTCCCCACCAATCTTTACCAAATGCAATGCCTGTTCCCACTGTGCTACCGGAATCTTTTGCTCATGTTCCTGCATAAAGGAATCTAAATTAATTTACCCACCCAATTGCATAAAAAAAAAAAAAAGAAAAAAAGTTTCAAATTTAATAAAAAAAAAGTAAAAGAAAAGGCAGACGAAAGTTCCATAAAATTTCCCCCTCAATATTGGCGTGCATTTTGCTCCTTGGTGCGACAATATGGTAATTATTCCTAAATGATTCTTAATTAATATTTAAAGTAGAAATAGAAGGAGTTTAATTTTTAAGAGGTCAATTACAATTGTGAATTTTATGCCGTACTCTTTTCCAAACGCCAATTGAGTTATGATTCTCTCTCGTAACGTGAAGATCAGAGTCGTGTTTATTTCTCTTGTAATTTTATTTTTTTAAATGTCCAAAATTTGAATTATGATTTTATGAACAAAATCTATCCGGTAGGGTTACAGATTAATTAATAGCAATTTGTTACATTGATTAGTAAATTAAAATTACTGTTATATTTTCTACTCATTATAATTATAATTGTCTTACTAATATGCCAAACGACTATAAACTAATTTATATGTCACATCAGGGAGTAATTTCATGTAATACACAACTTGCAATAAAAATTACTCCTACGTAGCAATATTTTTGCCATCTTTTAATAACAAAAATCCTTATTTTTAATTACAAACCTCAAAACAATCAAAAATATATATAGATAAACGAGGTGCTCCACCATTTTAATTATGTTGATATAGTGCTTGAAGGTGATGCTTGGACAAGTCTTTTTCAATTCACTTTCATTGACTGAAATCGATCTTTCTTTTAATCCTTTACTCAAAATATCCCATACGGCAAGCTCTAATCACTCTTCCAATGACAACTATGAAATAGACTCATACCATATTCCCATTATTATTATTATTATTACTACTTTTGATGTGATTTTCGTGCTTTCTACAATGATGTGATTTCACTTTTAGAACCGAACTTGATCAATTGTAAATGCAACAATTTAATTATGATTTCTCCTTAACATACCAATCAAGTAAGTAATTAGAAGCAGATTTATAAAATAAATAATTAATTAATGATGTTCATTTCGAAACTGAATTCCATAAAACTACATATAGAGTCTAGAATATGAAATTTGACTTATATCAAAAGAAGGAGTACATAGAATATAAATGTACCGAAATGGGTAGTGTTAGGAAGACTTGGCTAGATAATCAATTGGGAAGTTATGGTAGTTTTTAATTTGTTTTAGGATTTTTTTTAGTGGGTTAATTTCAACATCAGTGGAATTTTTTTTTAGGAAAAAAAAAAAAAAGAGAAAGAGAAATATTCTTTGAAGTGGGATCATAGTGGTCCCTAGCTTTCTCTCTTAGAAAAATTTTAACTGGTGTTTTGTGGCTAAAAAAGTACAGAGAGGCGGGAAAAGGTTGTATGTGGTTGTTTCGTCAGTTAGTGGCTGTGAAAACCAAGTTTATGTTTTTGTTTTTTTGAGGTAAAATGACTAGACCAAAAACACAATACCTTCTCTTCTCTACTTGTTGTTATTGTGTGTGTATAATGCGCGTGTGGTTTTTCACCTTTTTGAGGCCTTTATTAAGCCCCTCTCTGTTGCATCCTAACACCAAACCACCACTTCCCTTTCTTCTCTCTGTTTTCTCCTCTGCTTTCTCTTTCCTCTCTCTCTGTCTCTCTTTCTCTCTTTCTCTTTTCTTTTCTTAATTAATCTTCTCTATTATTTCTCAGGTATCCATCTCTCTGCATGTTACCTATTCAGTTCTGAAATTTGAGTTTCTTTCCTTTACTTTCTTGTTAATGTAATGTATTATTTGCAGAGCTTAATTTGTTGAGACAAAGGCAAAATGACGAACCAGAATGTGATAGCATCGGATGCTAAACCCAGTATTGATATAAGGATTAGGGTTTTATTCCCCAAATCTTTATTTTCAACAGTGGTATCGGAACCGGTATTGACAGCTTCTCCTCGACTTGTTAAGAAGATGGAAACTGCCGGAGGAGAAGCAGTAACTAAAACTAATAATGCTTATTGGGTTGATTCTATGAGAGACTCTTCGCCTACTCGTGTTAAATCTACTGCTTCTTCTTTATCTGAAACTGAAGAAAGAAAATCTTGGATGGTAAGTTTGCTTTTTCTTTTAAATATTGCTTTTTAATCTTAAAGTTTTCTTCTATATATGTATATATATATATATAGATAAAGACTGGTAATTTAACAAACTTGAAATGACGAATAACTGCAGATTAATCATCCATCGGCTTTAAGTATGTTTGAGCAAATATTGAATGCATCAAAGGGAAAGCAGATAGTGATGTTTCTTGATTATGATGGCACACTTTCACCCATTGTAGAAGACCCTGATCGAGCATTCATGACTAGTGAGGTTAGATTCAACTCTTTTTAAATTTTTTTTTTATTCTTTATTAATTATATCCTATACTAATTTCCTCCTATTCTAATTACTATTTCTTTATTTAGATGCGAGAGGCTGTTAGAGATGTTGCCAGATATTTTCCTACTGCAATAGTTACTGGAAGGTGCAGAGACAAGGTATGTAATTGACCCATCTGTTTATTTCTTTTTTTCTTGAAAGAAAATGAAAAAGGAAAAAAGAAATGGTGGTTTTCACTATATTTAATTTTTATTATGCAAATTTTGCAGGTCTACAGCTTTGTAAAATTGGCAGGGCTTTACTATGCTGGTAGCCATGGCATGGACATAAAGGGACCATCGTCTAAAAGTCGCAAATACAAAAAAAAAGTTAGTAGTAGTACAAGTACTTCTTCTTCTGCTTTATTAATACATGTTTTTCTTTCCCTTATTTTCCTTTTCCATTTTGATCAGTAATTAACTTATAAATATAAATTCTGTTCTAAAATTATTAATTTGGGATTTTTGCAGGACCATGAAGCTCTACTCTTTCAACCTGCTAGTAAATTTTTGCCCATGATTGATGAGGTTTGTTTCCTTTTATAATTAACTCTTGCCCATGTTTAAAAAAGATAGTTGCATGCATGTCAAAATACTAAATGTTTTTCTCATTTTTTTTAGGTGTATGAAGTTTTGATAGAGAAAACAAAAACTATTCCTGGAGCTAAAGTAGAAAATAACAAATTTTGCCTGTCCGTACACTTCAGATGTGTTGATGAAAAGGTAAAAGTTAAATCTATATATATATATATATTCTTTTTCTTTTTTTAAAAGACATTTTTGCTTGAATAGCTAATTAGATAATTAATATAAATACATAATTGGCTTATTATTTTCTTTGCAGATGTGGGATACATTAGCTGAACAAGTTAAATCAGTACTTAACGATTATCCCAAGCTTAGGTTAACTCAGGGGAGGAAGGTAATTAATTACTCATAAATGGAAAATTAGTTTATGCAATGCTTGGTTAATGCTCATAACTGAAAATGTGCCTAATTAATTAAAATTTCCTTTGTCTGAAATAACAGGTTTTAGAGATCCGACCAACAATTAAATGGGATAAGGGCAAAGCTCTTGAATTCTTGTTAGAAGCACTAGGTAATTAACCATCTTTTTCAATTTTATGTTAATTACTTCTTTAAAATGATTTCATATATAATATTGAACTAACAATATTTCTTATAAATTTTAGGATATGCTAATTCTAAAGATGTTTTACCGGTCTATATTGGCGATGATCGGAGTGATGAGGACGCATTCAAGGTATATTATGTTTCTTTTCTTTTTATTTATTAATAATATGATGAATTATCATTTTCATATTTTAGATCTTCCAAAATAATCTTTATTATGCATGATCAACAGGTTTTACGCAATAGAGATCAAGGACTTGGAATTCTTGTTTCTAAAGTTCCAAAGGAAACTAATGCCTCATATTCTTTGCAAGACCCAGCTGAGGCAAGAATTTAACATGACTTTGAGTTTATTATTAAAAATATTAAATTTTTTGTTTTGCATGGGCTTATGAAATTGTATAAATGTATGTATTCTTTCAGGTCAAAGAATTCCTAAGGCGTTTGGTAGAGTGGAAGCGGTCGTCTATGCTAGAATACAGAAGGGTATAAGTGAAAAAAGGATGAAATTAACCTCCACCCTATAATATTATTGTTGATCGAGGGTGCAACATGTAATTTTTCTTTGTTTGGAAATTGTAAATGAAAAACAAAAGAAATGGAATTCAAAGAATTCCATAATTTTGGAGAGGAATATATACCACTCTCTCTTTATCAATCTCTATTGATTTTCATATAACTAATCATTTTTTAGGATGTTTTTACTTCTTCACTCTTTCTCGCTTTTCACATAACTAACTATATCATTTACGATAATTTTTACTTTTTCACTTTAATGTGGATTTAGTAATGAAAAGAGTAGAATACAAAAAAATTATGTAGCTAGTATAGCTAGTTTACTTAATATCATTGGTTCAAATTTTCATAATTTTTTAAAAATAATTTTCAATGTATTAGAAAAGAATAAAATTTTTTCAAAAAATGTTTCAACTAGTAACTTATAGTTGAGAGGAAAATTGTAGGCACTATAGGCAATAATTAGAATAACATGGAAATAGTATAAACCGTACATACAACTAAAATTTTGAATATAAAAGGTATGGTGTTGAAAAGAACCTCATGTAACAACAAATTTTCTTTTACTTTTCATAAGAAACATGTGTTATTTGAAGTCATATATATGACTATTGGTATATATATATATAAAGTTCGATATTTCAATGATTGAAAACCCTAAATTTGAAGTTCTTTGTCTTGAGTTTAATGATAATAACAATAATTATAGCAATTTCTATAATGTATCTTTTGAGTATGATTTATAATCTCTTATTAATATTTGTATAATTTTAAATTTTTATTTTTGATTTATAAAAAGATTATTTAATTAAATTTAAAGAGATAATTATATATAGCAGTTACTGAATGTAACTTCCATTTTTGTTTAATAGTTTAGTTCCATAATTTGATGTTGCGAGTAATGCCAGTTCGTTGTAATGCGCTTTAAACACTTGACCATGTAATCTTTGCATAGAATGAGTCATCGAAAAACTCAAACTCAGGTGTTGATAATTAACTAACTCAGTAATGCACTCCTCAAGACAATTATATAAATAATCCAAACAAATGCAAAAATGCCTAGTACTCTTCAAATCTCTAAAATTATTAATCAGAGATGATGTCATCAACTTCGCATGGCCAATATCAGATGGCATGCTCTCGTCTCCTCGATCATTGCCTATTACACACTTCCTCGTGAAGTGTGTGAGCTATCTCCATATCTTGTGGATAAATATGAACCAACTGTTAATTTCTAACACAAATATATAAAATGTGTTTGAGATTTGTGTAGAGTACTATATATATTAATATGTGTTGTCCGTTTTCAATTCCTTTGACACCAAGAAATAGGCAAATGGAATTGTGGGCAGTCAAATACAGAAACGTGGAATTCTTGAAATTAGCGTCTCGCTTTCAGACCATGGCCACCCTGGTGTCCACACAGACACCAGCAGCTTTCTCTCTTTCTCTCTTTTAAATTTAAAGGTTAAAACTACAATAATAGAGAGAATCTTTATGCAACAGGTGTGAAAGATACCAAACTGACTCAGAAATAAGCCTAAAAGTACGACTACAATTAACATATACATACATAATGTTCTGAAAAGTAATTAAGTTTGATGTGTGCGTAGGTTTATTATTCAGTACAAACACCAACCAAACCTAGGAAACTGAGACCCTCTTTAACAATTCTAGCACCCGTTGTTTTTTTTGTATGCAAGTTGAATTAATATACTTATGGTAGCGAATCATTAGCTACTAAGTGGAGAGATATGCCCTTTTCTCTCTATTCCGATAACATGCATCAATAAATATTCACACTGCACTTACTTTTTTTTTTTTTTTTTTTTTGTGGAGAGTATGCCCTTTTTCTCTCTATTCGATAACTGCATCAATAAATTCACACTGCACTTACTTTTTTTTTTTTTTTTTTTTTTTAGCCAAATGCACATATTTACCTCTCCAATTTACAGAGACTTATAATGATATTACACTTTCACATTTTATTAATAACTATATCTCTAAAAATGCAGGATAATAATAAAACTCTTGCAAAATCATTTCATTTTGGTGATGGATATAGTTATTAGTAAAACGTGAGAGTGTGAGATCTATTAGTGTAGAGTCATGATAGATTCCGCAAACTTGAGGTTGCCACAAGATAAATCACGTAAATTTCAGAAGCAAATTTATGCAATAGAACCCTTATTTTTAATAACTATGTATGTGTATGGCCGTATCACTTTTAGCTACACATATATAGGTAGCATGTGTGAATAATTAAGGCTATTATCAATTGAGGAGAGACCATAATTTGTACAAGGCCTTTGATGGAAGATATGTGAAACAATGGAATTAATGAGCAGGCTGTAAAAGATTGAAAAAAGAAAATAACAAATTTAGATGGGACCATATATAGCTATTTATGTCTTGTATTTTGTAAATTGAAATTGCATGTTCAAAACATTGCTTGATATGTTCACTTTGGACACATCACTCCATTATTGCACTTAGAATTTGACATAGGTATATCATCCAACTAGCTAGCCAGAACAGAAAGCTCATCCTCATCATCATCTTCCCATTATTGAGTAGAAATAATAGTTTTGAGGTAAATTATTAAGGTAAAAAACAAATTATCATTTTTTAGTTAAGTTAAGATCAAAATACTTCTTATCCAATAATATTGCAACTTCTTTTTTTTTTTTTTACTTTTTTTTTTTTTTTTTTTTGGTATGTTTCAACTCAAAAATTGTTATTATAAATATACTTTTGGTCCTATCCTCTTGTTATAATTAATATCAGTCTTTGCATCCAAAACAATATATTGAAGTAATAGTAGAAGACAGACTTGGACTTATTATAAGTTTGAAAGAGTTGGCATCCACATTGGGTACAAGGAACATATATCTTATATATTCATACTAAATGAGTAACTAAAAATAAACTTCGGTTCGTTTATATTAAATTTGTCTCCATAAGTAAAATGTCTCACATTCGATGTTCAATTAGAGTCAAATTAAAAAAAAGAAATGTCGTACAAACCGATTATTAATTTGTTCATTTATTTAAAAAAAATTAAAAGATAAAATAAGATATCAGAAGAAGTGAAGGAGTGGGAATGGAAATGTAGAGCTAAACAATTGGGCAGTTGGATTTCGGAGAGCCCACCTTAGAAGATCAAAGGAATCTGAATTTGGTTTTTTAACGGATGGAAATTTATAGTTTAATGGTTATTTTCAAGGATTAGGTGGTGAAAGGGAAACCCACTAACAGGTGAAGGAGGAAGCCATGGTTGAAGAGGAGTTGGAATCCACTTAAAATGCTTGATTTGAAGAGGACATAAATTTTATATGGGGACATCCAACATGCTTCCAAACAATAAAAATGCTTTCATTTAAAAAAAAAAAAAACTCTTTATCATTAATTGTAAAAAGAAAAAGGTTCCCACTAGATTCAACCCATCATTGGTTGCCTAAACTCAAATAAACTATGTTAGCAGAAGCTCCAATTATTGGTGGAGAAGCCCACTTCCCCTTAAACAACCAACCAACAAACCTCACTCTCTTTTAACTTCCATTTTAGCAGATTTCTTTCAGATTATGGGTCTCTCTAAAGTTTCAGATCTCCAATTCTATTAATTTTATTTAATTGAACAACATTTTCAATTTCAATGCATTCATCAAATCATCCATCTTCCAACAAACTATATTATAATGTTTTTAACCTTATAATATTAATAATAAAGCCTTTGCATTCCAGAGTTTTTACAGCCTAAATCCACGATGCACAACCATTAAACATCCATATGTCTCCATTATAAAACTACATATTATACTTATTTCTCCTTTTTCACCATTATTTTATATTTTTTTTAAGTACGAAACTAAGATCATTTTAAACAAACTTCTAATCTTATAAAAATCATGGTTTCCAACCCAAATTTATGTTACCGCTCTAACCTCTCCTCATTGGTTATATATTATAATTTTTTGTACGTGTGTTTTGGATTTTCTTTGATGGTCCTATACACATAGCTGTCTGATTTGGCCATGGATCTTGTTTCCCAGTCGTGCGATTCTTGGAAAATTGGTCCCCAGCTTAGAGGGTCGAGAACTTTGTTTTCTTTTATTTTTTGAATAATTGTTTTTGTACCGTAAATTTGTCTTTGTTAGGGTTTGTTTTTAACATTAGATGAGATCAGATAAATTCAAATTTCCATGTGACCCATATGACCTTCATGTAGGGAACAAATGAATAATGTGTTTGTATAATAGGGTTTGATTCCTACTCTTCATTATTGGAGAAAAAAGATCCTCTCCTTTTAATTCCATACATATAAAAAGAGTAAAAGGCCAAATTATTAGGAATTGAAGCCAACTATTTTTGAACATAACAAACATCATTCAAAGTTTTATTTTTATTTGCTTAATGACAAATAATTAAGTCATTTTCTCAAAAAATAATTAACACATTTTTTTATTTAATTATAAAATCATGTGATTTTGACGATTTTTTAATAGTTTTTGCTGTCAAATTATTGAAGTATAAGTTTAATAGGGACAGGTGATGATTGTTGAAGAGTTCCATACTTATGAATTGACACATACTGAAGTTTTTGTATTTTTCCATGATATTTATTAATGGTGGATGCACTTTCCTAGGGTGAATTGCTAGCCAGTGCAGTGTCATAGAGTTTAATTATATCTTAAGTACTATCAACATTCTTTTAATTTGCTTTTTATGGTTCAATAATTTAATGATTCTCTTACCGGAAAGCTGGAAAGGAAAGGATAGGATATACTCATGTGCATCAGTCTTATTCAGCACTTACAAGGTGTTCTTTTGAAACCATGTTTTGCTAGATTTTCATTCAAACACTTGTCTGGCAAAACGTGTAGGTGTGCACTACTCCTTTATAATCCAACATTAATTAATGCTACAAATAACATGTTAATTATAAAATAAAAATAATGCTTTTATTAAAATCCATTGCCAAAAAACTAAAATAATTCATACCGTACGTGAGCTGTGTTCGAACTTTAGAATTCGTGTATAAAATCAATTCGTTTATATTAGATCGGCGTACAAATTCAACAAATTACTTAATTGGGTTCAAATTAAGAACATGGGCTCTAACGAAGAATTTAGATGGTACAAGAAACATTAAACTAAATTTAAAAAAAAAAAAAAAAAGCCTACAACACTACGAATTATGCTAATTAATTAACGATATGTTTTACATTTCTCAGAAACTAATTTCAACCCTTTACCCAACTTATCTACAGTAAGATCACATGCAATAGCAAGAACGGCATCCCCAGTTTTGAAACGGCTAATTTTCATTCTGACAGGAATATCCATCTTTAAGGAAAGTGAGACTTTTCCTCTGGTTCTTGAGCTCCAGTTGGTATTGGAGCCTTTTAGAAGGATCCTTTTTGCTGTTGATGTATTGTCATTTTGGAGAAAATGAGGAAACTTTGCAGCCGCCAATTTTTGTTGTTTAAAGAAGAGTGAAATGACACCCTCTTTCTTGTACAAAATGTCTGATTTCGCATTTGGGTTATAAACTTGTAACCTAATGTCGTAAAAAGGCTGTGAATGAGATGTTGAGTTTACGAAAACAAAACGTTGTATCTTAAACTTAGGGTTTTTAGGTTCAGGAAAAGAAAAAGAAAGTCCTAAAGCGAGGCCTACAGCAATAATAATAAGAGCAATGATTATGAAACAGGAAAACCAAGAACAAATAGAAGATCGACGTTTTGACTGTTCTGGTTTTCGATGGCGCTCAAAAATTTCTGCATTTTCTGGAGGTGGAATGCGATAGATTTGGTCTTTAGGGATTTGGACGATGTAAGTACCTGACTGGAAAACGGGTCGAGATTGAGATGTAACCGGTTCATGAACAGAAGAAGAAGGATGAGGAGGGGCTATTGGAGGCCGCCCTGCTGCCATCGAGAATTGGGAAAGTTGGTAGGGAAAGGAAAGATAGTGTATGAGGAAGAAGATGATGGCTTTGCAAAAGAAACGGTGGATGTGCCACGTGTCAATAGATGCTAAGTTTTTATTGGTCAATTTTGTTTTGATTTTTGAGAGAATATACTATTGTTAGACTTTCTTTAGCCGGTCAATTTAACTAAGTAAATAGCACAATTTTGAATAATAGTAAAAAAAAAGGTAAAATAAATACAAGTTTGAAATTTTTTTTTTTTTTTTTTTTTTTTTTTTTTTTTGAAATTTTTTTTTTTTTTTTTTTTTTTTTTTTTTTTGAGAAAGTTGAAGACTAAACTCATCATTTTATCTTTTTTTTTTTTTTTTTTTTTTTTTTTTTTTTGAGAAAGTGAAGACTAAACTCATCATTTTATCATTTATAAAATGATTTTTCCTCTTTATTTCCTCACACATATCTTAATATCAAGAAAGAAAATAAACTTATTTTTTTATATTTTCTCCTTATATATTTCTTAAAAAATTCATTTTTCTCCCTAAATTTATATCCAAATGCAGTGTCAATCGTGAATCCAACCTTCTGACACGTAAGGCAAAATATGCTGTTTAAGTTGTAAGTATTTAGAATTGAACAAGCTGTGGTCATGGTGGAGAAAGTATATCAAAAGAGGTTGGAGCCGATTAGTGGGCTTAGGGCTTAGCTCAGCTTTGTACAAAATAATGTTGCGAGTCCAATCGAATGGAGTTCCTAAAACTTTTGATTTATGGGCTCATAATTTTTCTACTTCAGCCTATCATGGGTAATCAAACTAGGAACAGGTCCGATAATTTCTCCGCGGGGAAAAAACCATTGGACGTGGACAATAGGAACAAAAAATATTGAGAGTAGGAATTTTCTTCCTTTAACCAAATATATCAAATTCCAACTTTAAATATAAGAGCATCTTTAATGCACGAATAAAAAATCATTTTGAGCGTAAAAAGAATTTTGATCGTGACTAAAAGAGAGGAAAATACTCATCTAGATCAGGTTCATTGCCCTACTTGTGAATTAAACCAATGGAATTAAAGTTTTTTTTTATTGAAATGGAGATATTTCTTACTATACACGTGGGAAAAAAAATTGATAAAGTTGGAACACTTTTTAAAAAATCTTTAATTCTATTAGTTTAATCCATAACTAGAGCCATAAATTCGATCTAGATAAGTTTTTTCCTAATAGTGAAGACATAAAGGGCAATAAGAACAAAAACGAATAAATAGGAAAAATATAATAAAAAATTAAGTCACGTTGTTTAATAGATCCTCTGAAAATAGAGAGCGTGATGATAACATCTCTCTTTTTATTGATGAAAATAATAAATTCACATTATGTCTATGTGATATATTGACCATATCTAGTATATGATTTGTTAATTCTTGATAACTTTGGCTCCGCTAAGATAATCAAACGCGTGCATTACGTGTTTGTAACTGATTAATTATTATTTAAAAGAATGTGAATAACTGATTATTCCTATATTTCTATGATTTTAAGTATTTTCTTATAGCATCACATGGACCTTATTTTATTGATGAAAAGTAAAATGATAGATTTTAGGAATAAACAAGATTTTCTCCTATATATTTTCATTAAATTTAAATTATTAATTAATATTAATTACGTCAATCAGATGTGATTTGATTGATCTTTTCGTTATGATAAAGTGGAAGATCTTTGATTCAAATCCTTTCACTTATAAAAAAATATTACTCTTTAACATTTAGTTAAAGTAACAAATATTTACTTAGGTTTTGTATAAACATTATTTATAACGTTCAATAATGCAACGTTTATAAACTGTTAGTAAAACAGTTGATAGCTTTAAAAATAAATAATACTTAGTAAAACAACTAAATTTAGTGGATAGAAATTTAAAACAATTAACGACTAAAAAAAATTTTCAATAAAAACCCAAATCGGATAAGTGACTAATTAAGATGCATGTCAACGTTAAATCTAATATGTATCGTCAACTCACAATAATTGCAAAAAGGATTTTAATTTATGACTATCTAAATGAATAAAAAAATATAAAATATTCCCTCTACCTATAGGCATAATCCATTGTAAACTTTTATAAATTTAAATAACACTACAGATTACACAATAGAAAGTAGCTGAAACACCCAGTAATTTTATTTTTGAAATTTTGAAATTTTTATTAAATCAAAAATCAGAAATTTTGGCTGTATGGACTTATTGTTTCCAAGATTTTGCGTGTGGCGTGTATGGATTTTATAGTTTAGGCTTATTACGGGTCTTAGGGGCCTTAAACTTACCTGGGTTCTAGTGCCAGTCCGGCCTATGGAAACGATTGGTGACAATAGTCCATCCATTGGCTCACCAAATTAATAAAAATAACTGTGATCGAAAAGATTCACATAAGTAAGAATATCAATCCGACCACCATCTGATTGACATCTTTCATTATTAATTTGAATAAACATGATTTTAAAACATTTTTAAAATAATTTGAATAAATCATTAACGTTTTTAATATAAACAAAAGTAAAATTACCACTTCCTTAATATTCACAATGTCTATGTATAAAATTTCTTTGTACAGTTAATATCATTTAATGGATAAGCAAATATTTTCCAATTTGGGCCGCTTAATTATTTAAACACGAGTTGCTCACTATTATTTTAAAAAAAAATTATGTCATATACCAAAAGATAAGCCATAGTTGGAAAAAAAAATATATATATGGAGAATCCAAGTGGGCTGGTGCCGCTGGTATCTTCTCCTAACGACCTGCTGAACTATTGTGGCAGTTGATCAATTGGACTTGTTCACTTCTCTGATCGACATACGACAGTCCAATAACTAAGCCGGCAAAAACGAATAAAATATTCCATTGTTCAAAACTCAACGGTCAAATGCCCACCCTTTCCCGAAGCCCAATTTTCCCTATTCCATAAAACATAAATATCTAAAACCTCACTACCTCCCATTCACGTCTCTTTTCGTTTCCACGAACGGGCATAAGAAAAATCATTTGATCAAAATGGACGGCTTTGATCGTCTCCCGGACTCCCTCATCCTTCTGATCTTCAACTCCGTCTCTGATATCAAAACCTTGATCCGCTGCCTCTCCGTTTCGAAACGTTTCAACTCACTCGTTCCGCAAACTGAATCGTTATTTCTAAGAGTCGATCGTGTAATTTCGCCTGACTTAGACACCGACTCGATCCTCTTCGCCTTCTTCAAGTCGCTCCTCAAGTCTATTCATGACCTCTTCAACTGCGATCAGAAGCCCACCGCAACACTAACCCTAACTCAAAATTCCCCCGCCCAAATCCTCTGTCGATTCGATCGGATCCGAGCCCTGCAAATCGAACTACCGGCCGGTGACTTAAAATTAGACAAAGGCGTTGTTATCAAATGGAGAGCCGATTTCGGTAAGACGTTGAAGAGTTGCGTGATTTTAGGTTTTCGCACAGCGGCAGCAAATTCAGATGATGACAGTGCTGATGTGGATTTCGATGTTGCCGAAGGTTTGAAGGCGAGAGTAGTGTGGACGATCAGTGCGTTGATTGCAGCATCGGCAAGACATTATTTACTAAAAGAGGTTGTGAAAGAACACAAGGAGATGGAGAGATTGGTATTGAAAGATAAGGAAGGGGAAGGGAAGGTGGTGATGGACAAGGAGGGTTTGAGAGAGTGTAGAATGGAGACGACGGCGCCTGAAAGTGATGAGTGGGAATGGGAGGCGAGCAGGACAATGGTGCCGAGCGTGAGAATGAGGATGAGGCACAAGCGAAGAGTGCAACTCAATAACGGGAGTTGGGTGGAAGGTGCGACATTGGTTGTGGTCAGGCCTTCCGTCGGGAAGGATGGTGATGGTCGTAGTGAAGTTGCGGCAGCTGACGTGGAGGACGCTGAGCTGGCAACGACTGCTTTTGGTGGTGGGGTATATGGAGAAGCTGTACAGCTACTTCTAAAGAGTAAGGGATATTTACTGGAAATGAACTCGTTTTAATTAATGCTAGGAGTTTGCATAAAGTATAATTTTCATTAACAGTCTTCACTCAGGAAAAAATGTTAACACATTGTTATCGCTTATGTAAATAAGAGGAATAATTATGTATATTATTTTTATTAACAGTCTTCAATTATATTTATCAAGATTCTGTAGTTTTTGCTTTCCGTTTATTAGTTTAACAATCAAATTTGTATATATGCTTCTTTTTCTTTGAATACTCTAAAAAATTTGCTCGTGGAAAGAAGTTAAAAATTACTACAACATAAATCTTGATTACAGTGTTTGGTAATTTATATTGAATCTCTTGATTTGGAAATAATATAATGAAAAAGCTTGAGTCTAATAAATTCCTAAATGGTGGCTGAGTTGGTCAAGATAGTGGAAACAAGCATTTAACAACTATGAACATTAAGACCTGCGATGCAAGGCCATGCTGGATGATAGATGCTTGTAATTGTTCAAACTAATTGAGGTGCTTGCTGGCACTCCAATCTGGAAATTTCGTCTGCAATATTAATTCTAGGCTGGAACTGGAATGCACATGCAAATGTTGAAACATTCATTGCTAAACTGATAATTTTCTTAGCACAATTTTGATATAAAGATAATGTAGTAGATTTGGTAAGAAATATCATGATTTATATGAGAGAAACCAATAGCAGCAATTCAAGCTTGCATCGCTATGATGCCTAAGTCGAAGCAAATTTCTAGATTATACAGCAGCCATCATATCAACCAGCCTTGCAATTGTTAAACTTAGTAAGAGCAAAAACCTAACCTGATAAGGATTAATAACTGATTTTTTTTTTTTTTTTTTTTTTTTCAAAAATTAATTATTTAGGCTACAATTAAATTGAAAATCTCATAGTTCTAGCTAAAAACTATTAATATTCATTCTTGTAAGGTCAGAGTTTAGAAATATGAAGTGTTACTGTTGAAAGATATTACTTAAACATTATTTCGCCCAAACGTGGAGATATGTATACAAATTGAAAAATATTAAGTGATCAAAAGTTTAAGATAAAAAAAAAGAATAATTCCTTTTTAGTATAACTAGGAGATGTAATCCCTTCCAGATTTTTTTGTCTTTCCAACAAAATGTTAGGGAAATTGATTTCGCTTATCACTTTAATCAATACTTATCAGTAAAAAAAAAGTTTTATCTGATTGTATATATTACTAACTAATATTACCAAAAATTCTTGGAAAAAAAAAAAGAGTTCTTGTATAACTAAATTAGTGATCGTTAAAAGCAAGAAAATAATTATACAGACTCTAGCACCTAGATGGAAAGGATTAATACTGAGGTAGAGGACTTATGATTAATGCATAAAAATGACAAATTATGATGTTTTGATAAGCGAAAAAGAATTTGATCAGCTTTGAGTTAATCATATCACAAGATTCTTGCACAGCATCAATCGCAATTGCCATATTATGATCATTCTTGGAATTTTCTTTCAATTAAACAACAAAATAGAGAAAACCTAATTTCCAAGAATTCCAAATCAAGTACATGTACATCAACACGAACACAGCACCAAAGTTCCAAACAAAGAACAAGACCCATTAATAGGTTTTAACATCTTATACCCCACAGACCATCTCTCTCTTATATCCATATCATGATAATGGTAACTACAAATCATCGAGATTGAATAGGAATAATATTTATATAGAGATATTTGTTTGTAAAGAAAGAAAATTTAATGAGAGCTTCTCCTTCGTGGAAGGTCCCAAGCAAAAAAGCAAAGAGAAGGGCTAATCTTAACGCAAAGGTGTAGTGGTTGGAGGGGGCCATATGCTCTCAAATCCATGTTCTCATCAAGTGCATTACACCCTTCATTATGAAAATATCCACTTTATAATTACATTAAAATCTCTTTTTTCAACCAGTTTCTAAACTTTCGGTGTACCTTTTATTGTCCTAATTAAAAATTAAACTTAGATTAACAGTAATCACTCTCCTACTTTTACTTTTACTATAACAACTAATAAGCACAGATTAGAAAATATATAAAGCTTTATAGATTGTTGATATGTGTGTGTTTAATATATAACAGTTGAAAGGGTCACAACTCACTATGTATCACAAGTTGAGGGTATGATTGGTCCATGAAACAAGGCTCGTGGGTTTTGCAACTTTTCCTACTCATTTTTTTCTTTTCTTTTATATTATATTTAATTTTCTTTTTTTAATATGTTTATCGATTGAACATTTTAAAAAAAAAAATTTCGTTAGTTACTAATAATATGATTGATGTCCTCAATCTCTTTATATGAAGATATGAATAGATTGGTAGTGTTTGTTTGGCTTAAGTTGGCCAAATTTAGTTTTAAGTGGAAAATTATAAATAAAATAGTACTTGATTTAGTTTATATACCAAAAAAATTACTTAAGAATGTTAGAAATTCCTTAAATTAAATTAGTGAAATAGGTAACCATACTTACTTCTCATTATGTTTTTACTTTTAAGATTAATCTTTGACCACCAAAAGACAAAATTATCTTAATAAATTTTAGAAATAGCAACAATATTCTTGTGTTAAAAAAATGTTTGCAGTTCTTATTTAATTAATATATCTCCTTTGGCTATTGTAACAAATCAGTAAATCAGCATACAAAACTATTTTAAAGTTATGTTTAAATTACTTATACAAATATACACTAAGGGATAACCCAGCGTAATTACATATGTCAATAGATTTGAGTTTGAATCTCCTTCCTCCAATACTCAAAAAAAAAAAAAAAAAAAAAAAAAAAAAAAAAAGAAGAGGTAGCTTCACAAATTAGTAAAAAAAAAAAAAAAAAAAAAAAGAAGAGGTAGCTTCACAAATTAGTTAATTGCGTATTTTTAAATTAACCAATTATTTTTTCAAATAAATTAATTGATTATTTAAAAGGGATTAACTTGTCTAAATCGAGTTCAAGGCTTTATCGATAGACCAACCTAATGAAAATAAAAATTTTTGTTGAACCGATGATATTTTTGACCAAAAAAGAGATAAAATAGGAATAAATTTTTAAAAATTTCTATTTTTATTGGTTCGGTATGCCAATAACGGGTCTACACAAGTATTTTCCTACTTAAAAAAAAGGTAAAAAATTAAAAGTAAATAGCCGACTCAAATATTCTTCAACAGAGAATTTCAGATTCATGTCTACTCATTCGTTATCATAACGAGAGTTACAATAATAGTTATTTAACTGATCCAACAAATATTGCTTTATTAGAATCCTTTTCAAACTTTGAAGTTGGAATATAAGCCGAAACCAATTCTATTTTATTTTATTTTTTATTGGTGAACCAATAAAATAAAAGGAAAAAGGAAAGAAAAGCAAAGGCTAACATAGTGAGAAGCTCACTTCTTGTGACCCCATTTCAAAGGGCTCCAAAAAGGAGTGAGTGTGAGTTAGAAAAATTAACAAACAGATGGTAAAGAGAGAGAGACACCAATAAAAAAGGTTGATAAAGCAAATGAAAGCTGTCAATTATATCTCTTAGCTTAGCTTCCCTCCTTTCTTTTAAATATACTTTAATTCCTCAAAACCCAAAAAACCTGTAGTATCTAAGATCTGAAAATCAAGAACAACAAATTTTTCATTTCAGTTCAGACAACTCAAAATGAAAGGAAGAGAAACCAAAGCACCTCCTTCTACAGATCTTTTGGTATGTTTTCCTTCTAGAGCTCACTTAACTTTACTTCCTAAGCCCATTTGCAGTCCTGCTAGACCGTCGGAACACAGCAAGCGCCACCAAAGCCTCCGTCATAACCACCTCCACCGCCACCACCATTTAAAGAAATCTAGCACCAGAAGTGGTGGTGCTGGTGGCCAAGCTAGCCCTCTCTTATGGGCCAAAAACAAGCAAATGGGTTCAGAGATTTCAGAACCAACTTCACCGAAGGTCACCTGTGCTGGTCAGATCAAAGTCAGGCACAAAGCCACTGCATGCAAAAGTTGGCAATCAGTTATGGAAGAAATTGAAAGAATTCATAATAACCGGGAAAAAAAGAAGAGATCAGGTTGGATGGATTCTTTTGGATTCAAGAAAGATATAATGCAATTCTTGACTTGTTTAAGAAACATAAGATTCGATTTCCGATGCTTTGGGTCTATTCCGCGATCAGATATTACGACAGATGATGAAGAAGACGATGAAGACGATGAAGAATGTCAAGAAAATAATAATCGTGGTGGTGGTGAAGGAATTAGTGATGGTAGTGAAGCTTCAAGAACTATATTCTCAAAATGGTTTATGGTTTTACAAGAAAATCAAAACAACGAGTTTTGCAAAGAAAAGAAAAAAGACAAGTGTTTCAGTGATGAGTCTATTGCTACGTCCTCTGTTCCTCCTCCTAATGCACTGTTGCTTATGCGGTGTCGTTCTGCTCCTGCAAAGAGCTGGCTAGAAGAGAAAGAAGGAGAAGAAGAAGAAGAAGAAGAAGAAGAAGAAGAAGAGCAGCAAGAACAAGAAGAGAAAAAAGGAAAGAAGCTAAAAGCTTTAATAGAGGAAGAGAAAAGAAATAGTGCAAAAAAAGAGAGTTTGGTGGTGATGAGATATGACACAGATTTCTACAAACTTTCTAGTGATATTGCAAAAGAAACATGGGTTGTCGGTGGAATCAAAGATCCATTATCAAGAAGTCGAAGTTGGAAGAGATGAAGAGTCTGATGAAGCTATTTCCATTTCACAATGTAACTCAAAATAATTTTCCAACTTTAATTCTTCCCTGTTCAATAATTTTTCTGTTCTTCTTTCAGGAAACTTTAATTTTTTTAAAAAATTTTCTTTCTGGGTTCTTGTGTGGGAATAGGGAAATCCAATCCTAATCAGGATTTATAGCTTACTTTTTTTCTTTTGTTGTTTTATGATAAAACTTTGAGAAATTGCATTATATTTGTATATCTTTGTAAACTGGAAAGGATTTTGCTACCGTGAATAGCTTGAGTTGTTTCTTTTGTATTTGCCAATTATCTAATTACCCTTTACTTAAGAATTTTATATATACTAGCCTTTGTGTGCGTTGCATGTTGGCTATATATTTGTTATATGTTCATTCATTATATTCGTTAAATTTTTATTTATATAATATTAAATATATAAATTCTTATTTAGATTGAATGGTTAAATTATATTACAGTTTATATATATAATAAATATTTTTTAATTCTATGTTAATATACTGATTAATACAATTTTCATTTTCTTTTTTAAGGAAAAACCAAATTGATTTATAAAGATAATCTTATAGCTTCTATTATACTTTTTATAATTAATTTATATATTTTGTTAATAACTTTCACTGTAATCTTTTTTAGTAAATAAATATACATTAACAATAAAGTAAGAAAGCAATCTAATAAATTAAATTAAATACTTATAAATAATAATAATTTTTTTTTTAGCCAATCAAAATAATGAAAGCATTTTAAAAAATTATTAATAAAATTATATTCTTTAATAGAAATAGGATTTAAATTATATAAGATATCAATATAGCTAATTAAATTTAGCCAATCACAATAATGAAAGCATTTTAAAAATTATTAAATAAAATTTATTCTTTAATAGAACATAGGATTTAAAATTATATAAGATATCAAATATTAGCTAATTAAATTTCGAGATATTTAAAAAATAATATTTTTTATCTTATTTCTTTAGCTTAACTAAATTAGGAGTGGGCAATTTTTGTAATTAAACAAATAAACTATAATCTTCTATAAATCAAATCTGAATCTCTAGATCATATTTATTTAAAATAAATTTAAAAAAATACTCATTACTATATTATTTAAAATAATAATGTTGAAGCTAAATCTATAAATTAATAATAATAATTCGTCTAGAAATTATTAATTATTATTTATAATTTACCATAATAAATATAAATGAAATAAAACTGTAATTAGATAATGTTGAAGCTAAATTATAAATTAATAATAATAAATTGTTAAGAATTATTAAATTATTATTTATAATTTACATAATAATATAATGAAATAAAATGTAATTAGACACAATAAGATAATAATAGTAAAAATTTAAAATGCATAATTATCTATATTTATTTATCTATTACAAAAAAAGTAAAAAGAATACAATCAAATTATAGAAATATTATATATATTTTTAGGTTAAAATTTTTTTATTGGTATAGACTAAGATTATTTTAGAATATCTTAAATTTCATAAGGACAATATTGGTAATCTTATTGTTCCCCTCAGTCTCATTTCACAAGGACAATATCTTCTTATTTGAATTTTTACTATCTTGATTACACTCAGGGGTGGCCACGGTTCCGGAACAGCCGGTTTCGATTCCGAAATCGAACCAAAAATTAACGGTTTCGGTTACAATTTAGAACCGAACGGTTCTGGTTCTGATTTCGGTTCCTTAATGGTTTCAAAACTGACGGTTTCGACCGGTTCTCCGGCCGATTTTTCGACGATTTCAGTCGGTTTTAGACCAGTTCTGGACGGTTCCGTCCGGTTTCAAATGGAACTAGAACTGTCGGTTCCAACTGGAGCCGAAACCGCCGGTTCACGGTTCCAAAACTGATGGAACTGGAATTGAACCGGTTTGAACCGGTTTCGATTCCCACCAGTTCGGAACAATGGTTCTGGTTCCAAAAACTGGATTTTGGCCGCCCCTAATTACACTTTGGGCTAAATTTTCCAATTATGCATGTACGGATAATGTGTGCCATGCAATTTGACCTTGATTCTCTGACAGTTTCTACATATTTTTGTTGATTCTTGTGTCAGCAAAGCATGCTTTTGTGCATCTTGCTCTGGTTATTGGTAGAGAATTGAGAATCTTTACAGTTCCAGCAGATGAATCCAACAATTCGCCTGCAGATTTGAAGACTGCATATTGACGAGAGTTTGTATGAACTCGATTTACGAGAGTTTCTATATATTTTATTAGTTTGGTTCATAATCGGGCCATAAACTCGGTTTAAACAAGTCAATCTTGATTAAAAAAGTGAAATGTAAATGATGGTTAACCTTTTCATATCGTGCGTGAAGTTTTTTTAATATAATATAAATGAGAGTTAATGGAGGTCAAATATAATATTTATTAATCTCTATAATCTTTTTAATTTTTTTTTTTATGAATTGATTTGGTATATAATCGGACTTATAAACCATGTGTAACAAAGGCTTATTACTTTTCTTAATTAAATACTGATTCTTGGATTAGATACTGAAACATTAAGATCATAAAAAACTATACATAATTAACCTCTTGTTCCTTTTTATTATAAATTTGCACACATTATTATTATTATTATTATTATTATTATTATTGTCATTAAATATAAAATGATATTAAATTAATATTATTAAATCTAATATTTACTACTAGGTGTCTGTTCAACATGTCTAAATCACTCGATAGCTGTCTATAAATTTTAGCGTGAAGTGTTCTATAGGGAAGGGGATATAAAAACATAAAAGAATAAATAAAAGAAATTTCTATTAATCTATTCCTCTAAGTCTAATGTTAATAAATGGTACCAGACCTTCCATTTCTAACGGATGCAATAAAATGGGCTTTGTCACATTATAGGTTCCAGCTGAAAGAAATATGGTTGGAATGTATTCGCCCAACCTATGAATTTATTTATCATGTTTGGTTGCATGGTTGTAAATTTGTAAAATCATACAAATTACAAGAACTTTTATTTCTGTAATAATTGTAAGAAAATTAAGAAATATGAGATCAATCACCATGATATTCAAAGAATGCAGAACAGCAAGAACACAGTCATTAAGCATTATATAAGAAATCATAATAAATTACAAGAAACAAAAAATTATAATCAAGAAATAAAAAAGAACTCTCCAATTATCTCAATGCAGCCGGTATGATTCCTTCCTTAACCTTTTTCTACTTTATGTATGATGCTGGCAAAGTTGCAGACCAGATATTGCTGCTTTTTTTTGTAATCTTCAAACTCTTTTTTTTTTTTTTTCTTTTTAAAATGTGAATCTCTCTGTTTCGATATCCATATGCACAAATTTTATGATTTTTTTTTTTTGCTAATTAATTAATCTTCAACTGCTATACAATTTGACTGATTTTTCCAATAATTCGCAGTTATTTCCTGGAATTTCTTTCACTCTTGATCCGTTCTTGTATATCTTGAAGGATGGAAGAGATATTACATTCTCTGACTTTGCTAAGTAGGGATGGTCTTCTACCTCCACCTGCAATTATAATTACAATAACATACAGTTATACAGTTCTATCTAAAAAGCTGTTGCTGAAGGTAGCCTTAAAAGGGAAAATGTCGATGCAGTAACTGTTTTAAACTTTAACTGATATGCAAATGATTATCAGCTATAGATAGATCAAGACTGCTGAACTTTGGGAAGATAAAGGACCATAATTACCGGTTAATTGCTTCTTTTTACAAAAATTATATTCTTTGAATCATTGTGATTAATTATGATATGATATGTTATTCTCTTTTACTTGATTATGTAGAGGGAAAAGTTTCAAAATGGTTAAAAGCATTTCGATATATGACTGGTTGGTGTGATTAGACTGCTAAAAATTATTTCTATATGGGAATTTTAAAGTCTCTAAATTGATTTTAGGCATCTAATCATTCAGGTTTATAGTTTATTCAAATTCTTGAAGACAAACAAACCTTAAGAAAATTGACAGATGGGAATCTCTTGCAGACTTGCTCCATCAGCTGCAACACTTGCTTATGATTCTCTTTGTTACAAAAAAGCACCACAGACATTCCTGTAAAAAAATGTCAATTACACATAAAAGAAAAATTGATTTTCATCTTCAAATTAAAAAAAAAAAAAAAAAAAAAAAAAAAAAAAAAAAAAAAAAAAAAAAAAAAAAAAAAAAAAAAAAAAAAAAAAAAACTCTAAATAAATGCATGAAATGGAGAACTTACCAGGTGAAGTTACCAAGTATCTGAAAGTTTCATTGCTTGATATAAAAACCAAATTAGAACCAAATTTCAAGTCTTTAATATCTTCGCCGCGTTGCTTCTTTAACTGAATCTTAGCCTCGAACAAGGCTCTACCTATTTCCTCATCTGCTGGACTTTCTCTTATTAACATCTCATAATCTTGAATTGAAGCTTCCCATCTTTCCAACTATCAATAAAATACAATAATTAATCCAGAATAAAGAAAAAAAAAAAAAAAGAAATATAAGAATTTACCTTAGCATTGCAATGAGCCCTTCTTAGCCTAGCCTTGCTATAATTAGGCTGCAATGTAAGAGCAGCAGTGCAGTCTTCCACAGCTTTTTCAAATTGATGAAGCTTGGATCGACAAGCTGCTCGGTTGCATAGTAAAATTGAATTGTAAGGCTCATGGTCTAGCCCTTCACTATATGCAACACAAGCCTCAGAGAATTTTGAAGCATTGTATAACAAGTTCCCACTCAATCTTGCAGATGCTACTGCTCTAGCAACTTTTACTACTGTGTTCGCTTCTCTGCTGCTTGGATCAAGTCGAGCTGCTTGTTGAGCCACTTCTGTTGCATCATCAAACCTATGAATGCAAAATTAATTTTTAATAAATTTTATCATATTTATCTTATAATCATTTGCAAATATTATAACAACAAACGTTTTCCTTGTTCAAATAGTCCTGTTCTCTAATAATTGTTTAAAGGAATTAAAACAAAATTTCACATATACTAACCTGCCTGCACCCATGTACACCTGTGCCCCAATCATTAAGAGATGAGAGGTAGTGGCCAGGCCAAAGCACTTAGTACAAGAATCAATGCTAAAATTCGGTCCTCTTCGGTAGGCTCTGTAGGCCTCTTCATGTCTGTGTAGTCTCAATAAGGCCTCGGCTTGCATAGCATATACCTAAAGATTATAAAGAAAAACAATCTTGATTAAGAACCCATTTTGGATTGATGTTGAAACTGTTTTTTCTACAAAAGCAGCACTTGCTGTTTAGTTATTTTGAGGTTTTCTTTTTATTTAGAATATGTGAAATTCACATTAAAAGTTGTAATTACCTTTGGAGATGAATCAGCACCAGAGGAAATTGCACAGTCAGTCTCCTTTACTAAAACATTCCATTCTTTTAGTTTCCGAGCTTCGATGCATTTATTCAGGTGCTTCTGAAAGGCCTGAACCTGTGCAATGTCTTGAGAGTCAGCGCAGGAGCCTGATTGTTTATAATGATATAACGCTTTCTCTGCTTCTCCTAATCTGCATAACACAAAATCATACAAAAAATTACTTTTTGTCATTTCTTTTCAATTCACGAATTAAACATTCTTGACGGAGCATCTACTACCTGACATATAATTCTGCTAAACGGTGATGAGCTCTTTGATAAGAAGGATCAAGCCTAATAGCTTCTTTACACTCAACAACAGCGTCTGTAAGACGGCCTAATCCTATCAAAGCAGCACTTTTATTGCTTCGGTAAATTGCCTTACTCGAATCGAGGGAAATTGCTCTATCATAATACCCTAATGCCTCTTCATATCTCCCTTTCTTGTATTTCTCATTTCCCACATTCTTCAAAATCTCAGGATCCATTTTAATTTTTGACGGACTTTGACATTGTCGAAATTCACCACTGGACTGTCTCACAATGTTTCCCATAACACCATTCCCAAAGCTATTTCTTGCTCTAGGAGTAGTAGTATTAGAATTTGTTTCTTGAATATTCTTATGAATTAGCATTAAATTGCTAGAATTTGCTCGAACCAGAGCTTTACTATCTTTGGATTGCTGACAAGTATTAGTGATTATCATGCCAAGGTCTTTGGACTCACTTGATAATGCCTTCCTTAGTTTTACTTGGCTTGAACCTGTGGATGATGTTGAACTTCTTGCAATATCAATGGATTTTCTGTTGGGTTTTTTAGAGAGATTGGATGTTTCAAGAAAGGAAGAATCAGATTTTGTTTTTGAAATAGGAGGCTTTTCTTTCAAGATAACATTGTTGCTGCTGCTCTCTTTCTCTATTGTTGGCAGTGAATATACAGGTGTTTTCCGTCGCCAGAAACTCCGGCGAGGGAATATTCCGCCCATTAGACCACAACCCAGTTGGTGTTCCATTGGATAATTTGCTGTTTCCGCCATTATAATTCACTCCAAGTTTCTATTTGTCTGCTGGGAAAGACTTTATAAAAACAGAGGAATGAATTATTTCAAAAAATAGAGCAAGAAATGTTAAAAAAAGAGTGTTATTAGTGTAATAAGCATAATGTATACATACAACTCGAAAACCAACTTTGGTTTTAGAAATATATTAGAAGAAAGAATTGAAGGAATTACAAAAGAAATAAAGAAATGATCAATGGCTTGAACATGAAGGATTCAATGCAATAGGGCAACCTTAGAAGTTGTATATTAATGTATATATAAAGTCACAAGCTCTCAAGAGTGGCTTCCAAGAAACTAGCTTTTTTTTTTTTTTTTTTTTTTTTTTTTTTTTTTTTTTTTTTTTTTTTTCTTTAGGGTCTAGTCTTGGAAAGAAGAAAATTTGGTATAAAAAATTTTTTTTTTTTTTTTTTTTTTTTTCTTTTCTTTTCTTTTTTCTTTAGGGTCTAGTCTTGGAAAGAAGAAAAATTTGTGTATAAAAATGGGAACATTCTGTTCATAATACATATATAAAATGTCCAGTCAGTAGTCTCATTAAGGGCCACACGGTACAAAACAAACAAAAAGGAATAGTTGTATTCAAGAAATTGCAACTTAAATGCTAATGATGAATAATAGAGAAGAGACCTATTTAAGCAACCTCTTGGTTGGTCCCATGCATATATGTTAATATGGAAGGTTGCTTTGCTGCATTTAGCATGAAATTATCATGCCAATATGTTATTTTATAAGATCTTTTTTTTTTTTTTTAATAAAAATTATATATTTCCTTATAATATGGTAATTCGTAAGTGGCTTCTTTTTAAAGGACTAGATTTCTTTAATGCTATTCTATTATTGAACTTCTGCTTCACATATTTATTAGCACATGCTAAAGAATGTATATTTGGACCAGGTTAAGAGAATGTATTTTCCTCCTGAATCTCATAATTTCATATAAATACCTAGTTTTTTACTTATTAATTTAAAAATAATCTTAATATCAGTGACGGAGTCTAGATTTAGCGGTCGGAGGACTGATTTCTTTTTTCAAAACTTAGGAGGGCAAGATTTTAAAAGATAAATTCATAATTTCAAAAAGGAAATTTGGATTAGGTGGTGGGATTACTCCTGGCTCCCTCCTTCCACCTTTGCTTAAAACATAAAACATTATAGAAGAATGGAGTTGCAATAGACATTTTAAAATTATTAATTCACAAATAACAAAATGAAAAATGAAAAGTTTTGCTAGCAGATTAAAAAGATTGATGCTCTCTTGAGAAATTCAACTATATAAGGGTTAATTAGATTAAGTTGACTTGCAAGTCAAAAATGTATATACATACAATGCAAAAAGCATTAAAAAGAAGGAAATGAGAGGGCATACTTACAATTTTTTTTTTTCCATTTCTTTTTCATAATTAAAAGGAAGAATAAAGAAAAAAAGAACAAGATTGTCTTTGGATTAGTTGTCTCTTTTAACGTATGGTTGGGAATTTCACACATTTAGGTCTTAATTTCATTTTTCATCTGTATTCCAATTTCAACTTAAATCGGCTCATCATTTCAAATCTAATGGATTCAATTGGCCAAAATTAGTCACAATAACATCATAACATATAGTACATGAGAGAGCGACAGTGACCAAATTGCGTATATCAGACATGTTTTATACATGTAGCTGGTTACAACTTACAACTTCTCTTTGAAATATTATTTTTTGTCCTTTAATGGAAACCACAATCTTTAACTAACAAGTGAAATAATTTATAGCAACATCAAAACATCTTTTATTAACCAATAAGATGAGGATTATGATAATAAGCAACAACAATCCTCTGAAGAGTGAGAATATAAGTTAGATCCATTGAAATCACACTTTACAAGATGTTAAAAATATTTATTCTCTACATCTCAAGACGGATTACACCTCCTGATTATAAAAAAAAAAAATGAAAATTTTAATCACCTATCAAGTGGCCGTTGCACATTGAAATAATAAGGGTCAGTTGACTCTTTTTATGTAAATTTTTTTCAAATATTTTATATATATTTACTTCAGAAAATTTTTTTTTCCCTAAAATCGCCAAAGAAATTTTAATATTGAGTTGTCCATTTTCATAGAAATTTTCTGATAGGCAATTGGGGTTGCCAAGGAGTTAAATAAATATTTGGCATGGACCACATGACCAGCTGTGTTTGTTAATTGTTGGACCTGATCATTTTCCTATTCCTTTGCTTCTTTCTCTTTGTAGTCACTTTCACCTTTTGTTCTATTGGATCGGCCGCAGTTATTGGTTGTCGTTTTATGTGATAGAAATAGTCGTAAAAGGTATAATTATGGGATATTATTAATTCGAGAAATTCAAAGAAACGACAACCCTCAATCTAAAACATAGCAGTACCAATAGTCGGTGCTGTCTAATAACTAGTAATCGACTTGACAGTTATTAAGTACCACCAGCAATAACCTGCACCGTTTAGAGCACGGTAAAAAAGGTGAAAATTACTGTTAAAAATATAGTTGTTATTCAGAGTTTCATGTTCTAGATGTTGAGTGTAGTGAAAGAGTTGACAATGAGAAACTAAAAATTATTAGAATTTTTCAATGTCAACTTATGGTGTGATCCTAATAATGTGATTAAGGATTTTGTTAAACATAGTCAGTCACTTGCCTTTGATTAAGGTCATTTAATTAAAGTCAACTAAATCACAAAAATCTTAAATTGATTGTCCAATGATGGGTATTGGATTCTGCTGATTGTTTAATTCCCTTCCAAAGAATTTTGCATAGCTTATTATTGATAAACATTTAAACTTTTTTTTTTTGTTTTATATTGTTTTTTTTTTTAATAAATAATCAATAAATACATAATATAAAAGAAAAACATATCATTTATCGTAAGTCCGTCTAGACTAATATAATTAGTAACTTTATAAATAAATATAGATTTACATAAATTCACTCCCACCCACTTTATTTGCCGACAAAAACGGAAATTTCCCTCCCTCAATTTACTGTTAAGAGCTGAAGAGTAGAGAAAGGGAGGGAAGTTGGAGGACAAAGTGAAAGCTGAGCGGCAGATAATACAAAATCCCCAAATCAAAATTTGAGCTGTCCTGTCCAAAATCGAATTATAAAAGATAGTCAAAGTTTACAACTATGTACAAATTGGAAAAAGACTTCTTCTCCTATCTACCTTGTTCTTGTCTCTACATATTTATTTAAGTATTGAACAGAAATTAAGTAGGCAAATTGCATATTAATTGCCTAATTCACAGATTAGACATGACATAATTTTAAAAGTATCGTCTTTAAACAAAAAATGAAATGACAGTAAGATTCGTAAGTAGTAGTTTTGGGCAAATGGATCTAAGTTTGGTTTTATTGTTTCTAATTGGGAATCTGGCCTAATCTTTCAATTCGAGTAAATTAATAAATCAATTTGTTTTGGCTCCCGATTAATTAGAGATTAGAAATTTAAATCTCAAAGGTAGAGAGTAATCACAAGATGACCCAATAGTGTAATCGTTGGCAGACAGACACAGAAATAATGACAGAAGATAATGTAAGAAAATAGCAAGAGATGAGCGAGGTAGACCCAACTTTTTTTTCTTTCTTTCCAAACATGGCTTTTCAGTCAATATTGAGCCATTAACATATCTATCATATGGGAATATTGTAGTGCCTCCAGTCGGCAATATACATATAAACAATATATATGCTTTAAGATGAAAGATTCACTGAACAAAAGGGAAATCTTAATGGAAAAAAAAGTGTTATGTTGTCCACTTTTTATTATATTTTTTTTTACAAAATCCCCACATTTGTACAAGACTAATTTTGTTATTAATGCTATATAGTTGTCAAATATATAATTATTAATGTATATGTCTGATTTGAAATAAACTTGAAATGGAGTGGGGTGAGCATGTTTGGATTCTAAGAACAAAATCAAGCTGAATCGATGCTATTCAGTTCAGTTTCAATTGGCTATTCAACAAAATTGTTAAATTCAGTTCATTGGCTTTGATTTTGGTTCGATTTTTTTTCAAAGAAAAATGAATTATAATTAATTTTTTTTTTTAAAAAAAAGCAAATTTTGATTCAAACTAGAAAAATGAATCAAAACACTCTTAATCGGTTTGATTTAGTTTTATATCAAAATTAATTTTTTTAATAAGTCGAAAATTATGGTTTCAGTTATTTTAATTCGGTCGAATTTTTGTTTCTAAAGTTTGATTTTTCAAATAGAGGTTACGGTTTCATTAAATTAAATGCTCCATCTTAAAATAGACTCCTTTCCAATAATGGAAAAAGGTAAAAAACAAAATGTAGCTCTTTTCACAATCAAGAATTAAAAATTGACCCTAAATATATTTGTTTTCTATGGCCAAAGGATAGGTCTGAGTGCATGTAGTAATTTCCATATATCTTTATCATTTGTTACTACAGCTAGCTCAATTGGACAATAATATATTACTTGATGGAGGTTCCTCCGCACGTTGAAAATCTTAAAAGTGAAGGCAGGATTGAATGGCACATGAGACTTACTTAACGTAGCAAAAAGCTTGGAAAAGGATGCGTAGAGGGAATGGAAAGGACTGCACGTGCATTTTAAGCGAAGGAAAACACGTGGTCACGTGATCCAATGCCACCTTGAACTACCCATGCTTGAGGACTAAGCTTTATCTCTTTGGTTTTTGCTTCACATAAGGATCAGCTCGTCTGCTCCTCAACAAGACATTCTGCTCATTTATATGATAAGAAACCACAACACATGCTCAACTCAACAATTTTAGCGGGGATTAAGCTCAACAATGTTATCTTTTCTAATGCGAGTCTGGAGTAGAATCATCTGAAAAAATTATTAAGTTATGATAATAGAAATTCGAACTCAACCTTAAAATTTTGATGTTAAAGTTAAAGAAGCTAATAAATTATAAGAAGACTTCAGATCTTTGCAAAGACCTTGGACAGAGACTGAATTTCTTTTTTT